CACAAGGTGAACCTGTGTAATGATAATGCTTTTTAAGCAGCTTCTTGATATGCCACACCTGTCAGGTGGATGGGTTATCTCGGCAAAGGAGAAATGCTCCTTTACAGGGATATAAACAAATTTGTTCAGTATAAATAAATAAAAAACACTGTTGCTATTGAAATCATTCCAAAGGGTAGGTTTTACAGAGCAAATGAAATGTGACCATACTTTATCACTCATATATTGTATCATCAATTATGCTATTTAGGCCTATATACACAAAAGTATGTGGAAACTCATTCAAATGAGTGGATTTGGCTATTTCAGCCACACCCGTTTCTGACAGGTGTATAAAATCGAGCACAGAGCCATCCAATCTCAATAGACAAACATCGGCAGTAGAATGGCCTTACTGAAGAGCTCAGTGACTTTCAACGTGGCACCGTCATAGGATGCCACCTTTCCAACAAGTCAGTTCGTCAATTTTCTTTTTGCTAGAGCTGCCCCGGTTAGGTTTTACAGAGCAAATGAAATGTGACCATACTTTATCACTCATATATTGTATCATCAATTATGCTATTTAGGCCTATATACACAAAAGTATGTGGAAACTCATTCAAATGAGTGGATTTGGCTATTTCAGCCACACCCGTTGCTGACAGGTGTATAAAATCGAGCACAGAGCCATCCAATCTCAATAGACAAACATCGGCAGTAGAATGGCCTTACTGAAGAGCTCAGTGACTTTCAACGTGGCACCGTCATAGGATGCCACCTTTCCAATAAGTCAGTTCGTCAATTTTATTTTTGCTAGAGCTGCCCCGGTTAACTGTAAGTACTCTTATTGTGAAGTGGAAACGTCTAGGAGCAACAATGGCTCAGCCACGAAGTGGTAGGCCACAGAAGCTCACAGAATGGGACCGCCGAGTGCTGAAGCGCCTAGCACGTAAAATTCGTCTGTCCTCGGTTGCAACATTCACTACAGAGTTCCAAACTGCCTCTGGAAGCAACTTCAGCACAATAACTGTTCGTTGGGAGCTTCATGAAATGGGTTTCCATGGCCGAGCAGCCGCACACAAGCCTAAGATCACCATGCGCAATGCCAAGCGTCCGCTGGAGTGATGTAAAGCTTGCCACCATTGGACTCTGGAGCAGTGGAAACACGTTCTCTGGCGTGATTAATCACGCTTCACCATCTGGCAGTCCGACGGACGAATCTGGGTTTGGCGGATGCCAGGAGAACGCTACATGCCCGAATGCATAGTGCCAACTGTAAAGTTTGGTGGAGGAGGAATAATGGTCTGGGGCTGTTTTTCATGGTTCGGGCAAGGCCCCTTAGTTCCAGTGAAGGGAAATCTTAATGCTACAGCATACAATGACATTCTAGACAATTCTGTGCTTCCAACTTTGTGGCAACAGTTTGTGTAAGGCCCTTTCCTGTTTCAGCATGACAATGCCCCCGTGCACAAAGCGAGGTCCATACAGAAATGGTTTGTCGAGATCGGTGTTGAAGAACTTGACTGGCCTGCACAGAGCCCTGACTTCAAAATAAATTGGAACGCCGACTGCGAGCCAGGCATAATCGCCCAACATCAGTGCCCGACCTCACTAATGCTCGTGGCTGAATGGAAGCAAGTCCCCACAGCAATGTTCCAACATCCAGTGGAAAGCCTTCCCAGAAGAGTGGATGCTGTTGTAGCAGCAAGGGGGGGGGGGGGAATCAACTCCATATCAATGCCTATGATTTTGGAATGAGATGTTTGACGAGCAGGTGTCCATATACTTTTGGTCATGTAGTGTTGCATTTGCAAACAGCTATTGTCTCAATTTAACCCAGAATAATAAAAAAAACAGACGATCCAATAGGCCCAGGGTTTCCAGCTCTGGTGATTTCGAATGTAATGATATTTAGTGACAACATTTGAAGGAAATGTGTCTTCTGCAGGATAGTTCCATTTGTGCCACTGACTAAATCTGGCTTTAATTCCAGTTTGTCTACAAATTAATCATTGACATGTTGGATTCACGTCTCCATCTCAACCAAAAATCTAAATTAAAGAATAGGACTAAATCAAATCCAACTTTAATAGCACTTTAAATAAAGTTTGTTTTTATTTAGTCCTATTCTACAACTTTGATTTTCCAAACTGGAATTAAAGGTAGACTAAGTCTGTGGCACAGATGGAACTATCCAAGCAGAAGATACATCAACTTTAAATATTTATATTTGGTTTCATATAATCTCAACTACAAATACAGGTGATTTGGTTCTGCTATTAGATGAATCTGTTGTATATAGTAAATAAACAAAATATTGTATCTGACATTGTATTCCCATTGGAGCTTTGCTGTACTTTTAAATAGTTGAAAGCGCAGTGATCGGCATTTGTGTCACAACTAAACCAAAAATCTGACATTGTTTTTCCATTGGAATTTGGTTGTGATTTTAGATGGTTAAAAGTATAGTGATAACACATTGGAAATTCAACTAACTTTTGGCTGAGTGGGTGAATATAGGTTGTAATCTCATTGAGCAACGTCTCAACCAAATATTATCCAATTATCAATTTTGAAATTACGTTGTGTGCCCAGTGGGTTCTGTCAGACCGTGTACAGAACGCTGAGTACACATCCATCACAGAGAGAGAGGGGGAGAGAGAGAGGGAGACAGGAGAGAGAGGGAGGGGGGACAGCAAGAGAGTGAGGGAGAGAGCGAGAGAGACAGGAAGATGGAGGGAGAGAGAGAGGGGGAGAGAGAGAAGAACAAGTGAGAAAGTAAGAGATGAAAGCAAGGGGAGAGAAGTGATGAGGAGAAGTCAGGGTCAGAGAGAGGGTGAAGGAAGGAGAAGGGCCACAGATGAAAGAAGAGACAGAATAGAGGTAGATTTTGAGCAAATAGAGAGCGCCACCACAGGGAAAAGTCAGTAAGTCAGCCAGCACAACACGACTAGACAGGTCCAAAATCTATACAGTAATCTTTTCTGGGTACTCTTTCTGTCCCCCTCTCTGCTTCGCTCTCCCTCCCTTTCTCATTCCGTCTCTTACGAAGGTCTACCTATCTATATAGTGTACCGCCCCCTCTACCTATCTATATAGTGTACCGCCCCCTCTACCTATCTATATAGTGTACCGCCCCCTCTACCTATCTATATAGTGTACCGCCCCCTCTACCTATCTATATAGTGTACCGCTCCCTCTACCTACCTATATAGTGTACCGCTCCCTCTACCTATCTATATAGTGTACCGCTCCCTCTACCTATCTATATAGTGTACCGCTCCATCTACCTATCTCTATAGTGTACCGTCCCCTCTACCTATCTATATAGTGTACCGCCCCCTCTACCTATCTACAGTGGGGAGAACAAGTATTTGATACACTGCCGATTTTGCAGGTTTTCCTACTTACAAAGCAGAAAATCACATTGTATGATTTTTAAGTAATTAATTTGCATTTTATTGCATGACATAAGTATTTGATCACCTACCAACCAGTAAGAATTCCGGCTCTCACAGACCTGTTAGTTTTTCTTTAAGAAGTCCTCCTGTTCTCCACTCATTACCTGTATAAAAGACACCTGTCCACACACTCAATAAAACAGACTCCAACCTCTCCACAATGGCCAAGACCAGAGAGCTGTGTAAGGACATCAGGGATAAAATTATAGACCTGCACAAGGCTGGGATGGGCTACAGGACAATAGGCAAGCAGCCTGGTGAGAAGGCAACAACTGTTGGCGCAATTATTAGAAAATGGAAGAAGTTCAAGATGACGGTCAATCACCCTCGGTCTGGGGCTCCATGCAAGATCTCACCTCATGAGGCATCAATGATCATGAGGAAGGTGAGGGATCAGCCCAGAACTACACGGCAGGACCTGGTCAATGACCTGAAGAGAGCTGGGACCACAGTCTCAAAGAAAACCATTAGTAACACACTATGCCGTCATGGATTAAAATCCTGCAGCGCACGCAAGGTCCCCCTGCTCAAGCCAGCGCATGTCCAGGCCCATCTGAAGTTTGCCAATGACCATCTGAATGATCCAGAGGAGGAATGGGAGAAGGTCATGTGGTCTGATGAGACAAAAATAGAGCTTTTTGGTCTAAACTCCACTCGCCGTGTTTGGAGGAAGAAGAAGGATGAGTACAACCCCAAGAACACCATCCCAACCGTGAAGCATGGAGGTGGAAACATCATTCTTTGGGGATGCTTTTCTGCAAAGGGGACAGGACGACTGCACCGTATTGAGGGGAGAATGGATGGGGCCATGTATCGCGAGATCTTGGCCAACAACCTCCTTCCCTCAGTAAGGGCATTGAAGATGGGTCGTGGCTGGGTCTTCCAGCATGACAACGACACGAAACACACAGCCAGGGCAACTAAGGAGTGGCTCCGTAAGAAGCATCTCAAGGTCCTGGAGTGGCCTAGCCAGTCTCCAGACCTGAACCCAATAGAACATCTTTGGAGGGAGCTGAAAGTCCGTATTGCCCAGCGACAGCCCCGAAACCTGAAGGATCTGGAGAAGGTCTGTATGGAGGAGTGGGCCAAAATCCCTGCTGCAGTGTGTGCAAACCTGGTCAAGACCTACAGGAAACGTATGATCTCTGTAATTGCAAACAAAGGTTTCTGTACCAAATATTAAGTTCTGCTTTTCTGATGTATCAAATACTTATGTCATGCAATAAAACGCAAATTAATTACTTAAAAATCATTCAATGTGATTTTCTGGATTTTTGTTTTAGATTCCGTCTCTCACAGTTGAAGTGTACCTATGATAGAAATTACATACCTCTACATGCTTTGTAAGTAGGAAAACCTGCAAAATCGGCAGTGTATCAAATACTTGTTCTCCCCACTGTATATAGTGTACCGCTCCCTCTACCTATCCTGGGGGTGGAAAGCAATAAAAGTAATTGCTGTGTTAATTTATGGAATTAATGGCGGAGCATTGCTTTAATAGCAGGACTGGCGTGGGACTGATGCATGTTACACAATATGATTCACTGTCACACACCGCTATTACCGCACGGCATGCTGGGAGCTGGGCTGGACCTGACGACGAGCTCGGTGAGGGGAGAGAGTGGCTCTGGCCCCGCCCTGAGAGAGATGCATTGTGGGTGTGTTTCTAGAGACAGCAGGCAGAAGGAAGAATGTAATAGCTGCAACTGTATCATTCCAGAAAAAGGAGAGGAAATCAGAAGCGAGGTAGAGAGGACTGGGCCAGGCATTGCGTGTGTGCCTGTATAGAAGTGTTGGGGCAGTGCAGGCCTGAGTGTGTGTTTGTGTGTGTGCATGCACACAAGTGTGTGGTATTGCTTGGTTGGGGCAATGGGGCCCACCCCTTGGCTGAACCTCCAGTCACACCAGGCTCTGTGCTGCTCTGTGGTCTGGGCTGGAGCTGGCTGAGGGTAATTACAGTCCTGCTCTGAGAGCTTCAGCACTGCAGAAAGTGTGGTCCAGTATGCACATATGGTCCAGCATAGAGCTGCTATATTTTTTTATTAGTTACTCTCTGAAACTTCTAAATGTAATCATAGCCCTTGGTTATCATACTCCTTGGTTAAAACATTCGCAGCAACAACACATACAACCATACAATTGCAGTACCTTACTGACATAAAAGGCAAACCACACGAGAAACTGATCCTTCCTCCTGTAGCCAGAGGCAACATTCTTTTCTCTCAGTAAATATTAACAATACAAAACACAGCCAGCCCGGCAGCCAGCCAGCCAGGCAGGCAGCCAGGGCCCCAAGTCAAAGCCATTACCTGTGATATCTTCCAGCCAGTCTCTCTGTAGTCTATACTAGTATACTGTGATCTGGCCTCAGCAATAATATAATCTAACCACAGCTATTTAACCCACACAATAACTGCGAATCAATTATCTACCGCTGCTTTTAAAATAATATACAGAAAGAGAGGAATAAATAGAAGAGAAGAAAAAATAAGTTAACGTTTCACTCTCTGGCTCAACTTTCCTCCTTTCAGTCAGAGACCCAAATATTTTCTTTCTCAGTCGTTTCTTAGCAACCGGGTAGAACTTTCCAATGACGTCATGTGGAAACATTTTCAGCAGATTCAACTGTGATTCAACTCATTTCATTGAGTGAAGGAACGTTGAACGCTGTAGTAAGCTAAAGAACTGAGAGACAGAGAATCATGTCTACAGTGAAGTGTGATTGGAGATGACAGTGTCTCCGTCCCAAATGGCCCCCTATTCCCTATAAAGGCACTATAAAGGCAATAGGATGCCATTTAGGACACAACCAGTATCATTACACAGACCAGAAGAAATAGACTTCTGTAAGATTTTAAAAACTTTTTCTTCCTTTTCGGTCTGTGTGTAAGTGAGTCTGGGGCCAGGAGCATTCCTGCTTTGACGTTGCTTTGGCTTGAGAGAAGAGTTAAGAGTTCTGGCCTGGCCTAGTGTTTCATCAGCGTTGCAACAATGTTCCAGGAGGGGAGAAAGTGTGTGTGTGTTTGTGTGCTTACCGTCGGTCGTTCCTCCTGCGACGGAAGAGCTTTTTGGTGTGTGCGATCTCAGCTTCGTTGGGCAGGGGCGGGAATCCCTGCAGAGAAAGAGAGAGGGAGAGACTTAGCAAACACTTTAATCTAAAGCGAGTTACAGTGTGTGCATAGATTTTATGGTCGCTGTACGCACAAACTGTGAATTTCTTCATTTATTTTCTATAGCTAACATGCATACTGTACATAAAGGGTTATAGTTAGATGGTATAAAGCTACCGACGGATGTGACGCATAAATCTTTGTAATTTGTGTGTCTTTTCTCCCAAGACAGAGAGGAGTCCAGCACCCCCCTCCCCCATGTCTAGTTACCGCCTTCCCTCCCCCTCCAACAGTCCAGTCTACCCCCATGCAGGGATTGAGGGACGCATGGAATCCACCGCAAATTACAGGTCCACCTCACAACCTCCATTAAGGAAGGAAGGCAGAGCCACACAGCCAATGCAGAGCCTCTCTTCTCTTCTCAGTCCCTTAACTTCTCACAGGAATGTTGGCAGCCTACAATTTCCCCAGACAAGCTCTGAAAGAGGGGGGAGCACTTAGAAGCAGCGGGGAACCGGCTCCAAGTCAAGAAGGCTATATTCCATATGTGTGTGTTGGAGTGTGTGTGTAATAATAATAATTTGGTGGGTGCCTATTATATGTACAAGTGTGTATTAATACACGTGTGAATTGGAAATGTGTTTTATTTTTTTTGCATATCCCAACTCTCCCTGAGTCACCCTCAGAGAGTGGGGTCACGGCCAGGGTCAGCCATTATAAAACGGCCTTGCTCAAGGGCACAGACAGATTTTTCACATTGTCTTCTCTGGGATTTGAACTAGAAACTTTTCAGTTACTGGCCCAACACTAACCGCTTGGCTACCTGCCACCCCTGTGTGTGTGTGTGCTCTAAAGGCACAACTTAATCCATTAAACATAGTGGTATGGTTGTTTTAAGTCAAAACTGGTTTGTCTGGGATGGAACCAGTGTCTAGTGTCGCCTTGGTTACAGATGGTCAACTACAAGTTTGAGGAGGAGGATGACTGGGGGAAATGTGTTCAAACGTGTGTTAGTATGTGTGTGTGTGTTGTGTGTAAAAGTGTTTTGATAATGTGTGCGCGCATGTGTGCGTAATGTGTGTAACAAGATGTGTTGTAATTGTCTATGTGGTGGGTTGGTATTTTCTGTTTGACATGTAGTGTGTGTCTACAGGTTCTCTCTACTCAGCCCCTCTGTGGTGTGGTGGTATGGCAGCGTGTGGCTCCAGCCCAGGTTCCAACCCTGTTATCTCCCCATCAGCAGTGTCTGCACAGGAAGCAGTGGAAACCCCCACTCTAGGGCAGACACCCTCACTCTAAACCCCCACTCTGCTGGGGCAGGCAGACACCCACAGCCACACACTTTAATTGCACTTCAGTCAACAGAAATCAGGCATGCCGCAGAGCCAGTCAGGGTAGGGCAGAGCCAGGCACAACCCATACCTCTAACCCTCCTAACCCTAACCCCTCCCCAACCTTTCATCTCATAAGAAACCACATCCAATAGACTACGTAGCAGATGATGTAGCTGCACATGATGATATTGTATGATTATCTAAAATACAATGCATAATATAATAGATATAACAATATAATAAACATGTTCAACACTAACTGATACAGTGACAGATCATGGTGGAGATGGCAGTTGAAGCATGTCAAAGATTCTCCCTGCATCGACAATAGAGACACAGAGATAGAGAAACAGAGAGAGAAAGCGAGAGTTACAGAGAGAGAGAGCGAGAGTTACATAGAGAGAGAGAGAGAGAGAGAGAGAGAGAGAGAGAGAGAGAGAGAGAGAGAGAGAGAGAGAGAGAGAGAGAGAGAGAGAGAGAGAGAGAGAGAGAGAGAGAGAGAGAGAGAGAGAGAGAGAGAGAGAGACAGCTCCAGTCACTTACAGGATGTTCTCAGGATAAAAGGCCTCAGCCAGTCAGCCCACATCAACATGAAGGAGAATAGGCTATACAATACTGGAAGACTTCATAATCAACGGTGATGGTGACACAACTTAAAACGATTGCTGTATACAGCGCATTCAGAAAGTATTCAGACCCCTTGACCTATTCCACATTTGTTACAGCCTTAATCTAAAATTGATTAAATAATAATCCTCAATCTACACACAATACCCCATGACAAAGCAAAAACTGCTTTTCAGATTTTTTTTACAAATTTATAAAAAATACAAAACAGAAACATCTTTATTTAAATAAGTATTCAGACCCTTTGCTATGAGACTCGAAATTGAACTCAGATGCATCCTGTTTCCATTGATCATCTTTGAGATGTTTCTACAACTTGATTGGAGTCTACCTGTGGTAAATTCAATTGATTGGACATGATTTGGAATGGCACACACCTGTCTAGATAAGGTCCCACAGCTGACAGTGCATGTCAGAGCAAAAACCAAGCCATGAGGTCGAAGGAATTGTCCTTAGACCTCCGAAACAGGATTGTGTTGAGGCACAGCTCTGGGGAAGGGTACCCAAAAAATACTGCAGCATTGAAGGTCCCCACGAACACAGTGGCCTCCATCATTCTTAAATGGAAGAAGTTTGGAACCACCAAGACTCTTCCTAGAGCTGGCCGCCCGACCAAACTGAGCAATCGGGGGAGAAGGGCCTTAGTCAGGGAGGTGACCAAGAACCCAATGGTCACTCTGACAAAGCTCCAGAGTTCCTCTGTGGAGATGGGAGAACATTCCAGAAGGACAACCATCTCTGCAGCACTCCACCAATCAGGACATTATGGTAGAGTGGCCAGACGGAAGCCACTCCTCAGTAAAAGGCACATGAAAGCCTGCTTGGAGTTTGCCAAAAGGCACCTAAAGACTCAGACAATGAGAAACAAGATTCTCTGGTTTGATGAAACCAAGACTGAACTCTTTGGCCTGAATGCCAAGCGTCACGTCTGGAGGAAACCTGGCATCATCCCTACGGTGAAGCATGTTGGTGGCAGCATCATGCTGTGGGGATGTTTTTCAGCGGCAGGGACTGGTAGACTAGTCAGGATCGAGGCAAAGATAAACGGAGCAAAGTACAGAGAGATCCTTGATGAAAACCTGCTCCAGAGCGCTTAGGACCTCAGACTGGGGCGAAGCTTCACCTTCCAACAGGACAACAACCCTAAGCACACAGCCAAGACAACGCAGGAGTGGCTTGGGGACAAGTCTCTGAATGTCCTTGAGTGGCCCAGCAGGAGTCCGGACTTGAACCCAATCTAATATCTCTGGAGAGACCTGAAAATAGCTGTGCTGCGACGCTCCCCATCCAAGCTGACAGAGCTTGAGAGGATCTGCAGAGAAGAATGGGAGAAACTCCCCAAATACAGGTGTGCCAAGCTTGTAGCGTCATACCCAAGAAGACTCGAGGCTGTAATCGCTGCCAATGGTGCTTCAACAAAGTACTGAGTAAAGGGTCTGAATACTTATGTAAATGTGATATTTCAGTTGCAAAAATTTATAAAAACCTGTTGTTTTTGCTTTGTCATTATGGGGTATTGTGTGCAGATTGATGAGGGGGGCTGTAACATAACAAAATGTAGAAAAAGTGAAGGGGTCTGAATACTTTCCGAATGCACTGTACAGTACTATACTTTACAATATAAATTGGTTTGTTTCAATGCAGAAGTATATAGGAGCAAGAGAGCGGCCGAGAAACATTCTGGGGTAAGGAAAACACTAAGACACACCGCTAAAACACACACCTCAGTGTTTTGTTGGTTTCACAGCTCTCATTCTGATGTCCCTCACTAGTATGACACAAATTGCAAAAGTGTGAGAACACGGAACCCTAAAGAAAACAGTGCTCTGAGCCTCACTGCAGAGGTTGGACCCAGAACAGCAGTTCAGTTTCAAACCTATGTTCAAATATTATTAGTGTTTGCTTTAGCCTGCTTGGAGTGTCTGATGGGTCGGGTTTTCATACTATTCTGAGACTATTCTATTGGTTCCATTGCACCAGGCAAGCTCAATCAAGCCCAGTTAAATTGTATGAAATGATTTCAAATAGTATTTGAACCCTGGTCTGTTCAGTTCAGACACAGCTCATTCAGAAGAAGTGAAACTTTCCAGAGCTCAGACCGCAGGAGGGTGGTGTTCCTTCCCAGTCAGTCCCCAAGCCAGGCCAGCAGTATGAAACCCCAGAGCAATAAGAGGATCATACCTGGCTTAACAGAGACACACACAGCACTGAGCCATTCACTTACACTGCAACACCTTCATAACACTACTTTAGGTTACACATTTCAGACAGAGTCATAAAAGTTCATGTTGCTGTTCTTTCGAACTGACCTTTGTTTCTCTCCCTCTCTCAAGTTTTCTTCCTCTGTCTTACTGAACTGCTGCAGTGGTGCTGGGCTCTGATTGGTGGAGGCTGATTGGATACAGATGTGTGCGGAGGCTGGAGGCAGGGGAAGGCCTTTGTAGTGTGGCATGGTGGTAATACGAGCCTGAGAACACGCAGCAGAGAACCACAGGAACAGAGGCCCAGCCCCGAGCAGCTAGCCCCAGCCAGAGAGTCTTGCCCCGGGAGTAAGGCAGGAGGAGAGGGGATTCAGAAGAAAAGAGCGCCACCACACTGGGGTGGGCAAGATGAAGGGACACACAGAGAGATAGTCTTGCTAGCCCACACTCCTGGGTCTACACAGCACCTGTATGACGACACTACCAGACAGCCAACACAACCATCCAGTTTTTTAAAAGAATGATGGAGTACCCCTGATCCCACGTCAGTTAAAGAGGAGTACACCAAGACATTCTGGTGGGTAAGCAGAGGAGATACCAGTGTAGTTATCCTTCTACTGAAAATAAACACTGATTAGTGCTAGGAATGTTCATTCACATTAAGTCTGCTTCATTCAGCATTTAACTGGTTAACTTCAGAGAACGCTCTGATCCAGGGAGACAGATAAAAGATGGGGAAAGGACTAGGAGAGAAAAAGTGGGAGGACGAGAGAGAGGCAGAGTTGCATGTTTAGCTACTGTTGTTTTCCTGTAGGATATCATTAGCTGTAATCCTGCTTCCAAATGGTTACCAGATGACTCAACTCCAGTATACCTACGCAGTCATAAAAGCTGAAGAAAAAATGTAAACATTTAGAGAAACGTTAGCGAGGGAGATTTGGGGTTTGCATGGGAATCTGCTGTGACTCATTCCACTCATTCAACTTACATTTTTAAGTGCTATAAACAAAGAAAAAAAGCCCTTTTTAAATATGCAAACTCAGACATGGACGTCAAGACCGTTTACTTTAGACTGAGTCCTGTCTGTACTCCTTGAGCGTCTTTTAGACTATGCAGATTGCATTTGGGTGTTTTTGCAGGGATAGCATTTAATTTTTTTACAATCTTTCATCAGTGCAGATAAAAATACATATTTGATGAGAAACACTGCAGTATGGTTTCTCTCCAGCCTCAGTCCGACCAGACTTGATGGCAAAATAGCAGCATATAAGCCTGTAGGAAAATAGTAGTATAGGCTAATTGAATATTCACATATAAGAAAAAAATTTAATAAATGTATGCACTCACTAACTGTAAGTCGCTCTGGATAAGAGCGTCTGCTAAATTACTAAAATGTAAAATGTAATTCCGGTACTACCTCCCACAGAAAATCCCTGTCTGTGTTATATGAGCTGAAGAGATGCTTCTAGATCTGCATTGCTTGCTGTTTGCGGTTTTAGGCAGGGTTTCTGTATAGCACTTTGTGACATTTGCTGATGTAAAAAGGGCTTTATAAATACATTTGATTGAAATTTGATTGAAGAGCACAGGCAGACTCAGACCTAATTGCACACAAGAAAGACGGAAAAGGTGAAAATAGTCAACAGTAAAACACATTCTATACTAGGAAAGACTTGGGTAATAGATAGACCGAGAGACAGACAGAGGAGGACCAGACTGATCAAAGAGGAGGTGTGTGCTCAGCACGTCCCCTTCCCCAGCCAGGCAGTATGACCTTTGAACTAGCAGCAGACATAGGGAAGGAGCCCTGGAGGGCTCTGTGGACGTGACGACGGGCCATAGCATGGAGACCTCACCAGGTAGTGCACGTACTGCGCCACATTCCAGGGGCTGGGGTTCAGGGGTCAAGAGGAGAGGCTCCAACCTCAGACAGTAACAAACCGACAGGACATTGAATGTATGACCTCATAATTATCCGTGACCATGACCAATGATGACTGTTGTGGAAGAGAAGCCATAACAAGTCATATAAGCCACTGAGAGCAATAATATCTGTTATAACACAGCTGATGGAATGGAAGTCAGTCTGTTTGAGGTGACTTCCTCTAACCCCTTACTGTGTAATTATCCTGCTAGATTAAGCTTCATTCACAAAGCCTACACTCCATTGTTCCATCTCTGCTTATTTATGCTTGTTTGGCTTCCCTACAAAAGCAATAAATTAAGGAGAAAAGTAACTCTTAATGTACTGTATGTCATTACAGCATGTATTATTTTTAGACTAAGGGCTATACAAATTAACTTTCTGCCGTCTCGTGGTGAAAAATGTGATAAGGATATGCCTTCCTCTCTGGACAGGAAAAATATATATATGTAATTTGGCTTCTTAAAGCTCAGATCCGCGATAGGCGCAACAGCGCCACTGGCTGCCCCAGGCAAATGTATTGTTTTTGTTTTGAGGAAATGAGCATCCAGCATTGTGGTAAAATAAAAATAAAAATCATAGTACATACTCCGCTGCTCTATTGGGCACGCAATGATATCCCAGTGATGTCCGAGAGAAAAAAAACTGTTAGTTGTGTGAAGTAACGTCTTTATTGTTGTAATATCGCAAACGGACGTGGCAGTTTCACCTCTATGAATTCCAGATTTAAAAAGGGCCATGTTCTCTTCAGCACAAACACTGTGTATTTAATTGTTATTTGGGACAACTGGAACTGATTGACGACCATGTCTGACACATGGGAATTTGTCCATTGAGAGTGCAGAGAGCGAGGAGGGAGAAGGGGAGAGAGCACGAGAACGCGGGAGAGAGAGCGAGAGAGGGGGAGAAAGAGCGAGAGAGAGAGCAAGAGAGATTCTTAGCCACAGCCACTGGAAAGAGAGCTGATACTGGGAGGAAGGAAGGGGAGCAGAGTCAGGGCCGTCTGATAAGACCTTCTAAACATTTTATTTTGCTGTATGTGAGAGAGAGTCTCAGCAGCCAGCCAAGCAGCTATATTCCATTTGCTGTTGCATCTTGTACCTCAGGCGGCAGCCATTTTGTAATCTCTCTTTGCAGACTTTCCTCTTCAGGGGACCTTTAATCACTTACAAAGGGGGCTGAGGGGAATATGTGAATTATAAAACATTTTCTTGCAATTACTGCCCTGTCCTTTATGTCTGCATTGAATTACTGTTGTTCAATGAGAAATAATGACCTATTCCAACATTGCAAATACAATGTATGATATCCAAACAAGAATGAAGTCATATAAATAAATTACTGTTCAAATGACAGACACGTGCAAAATGTGCATAAGGGTTGTCAACACAAAAGGGAAAGTGAAAGAAATGAACCAGTAACTCTTCTTTTCTTCAGGGCTTTCAGTTACAAAGGCATAGAGCCAAACAAGCTTTGTTACTACAGCACTGTGACTTTTCCTTTTTTATGCATTTTGAGACTAGGTCTGCGATCCAAATGGCACCTTTTCCTTTATAGTGCACTATTTTTCACCAGGGCTCTGGCCAAAAGTAGTGCACTATATAGGGAATAGGGTGACACCCCTCCCAGTCTGGTAATCTTATACTATGACTCATATCTCACTGCCTAACCACTACCCCCTCCCTGGTCCTGACTCTACACATGGCATGTGTACAGTAGGACCATGTTGCTTGGTAACCACAGTGCTGACGCTGACAGAACCACTTTTCATCACTGACTGCCACGGTGAGTTCCTCAGCGCTGAGGGCATCGCTTGTTTACATATCCCTCCTCTCTACCCAGGCCAGGACCAAGTCTTACACATTCCCCCCTCATCTCTCCCAAGCCCTGGCCCAAGTCTTTCAAATGCCAAGAAGACATTCACATTGGCTAGAAATAGTTGCCTTTCTCTGAGAGGTCATAGATCATAAAATGTATTGTCAAATGACATGTACACTACACTATTACAGATACACTACCGTTCAAAAGTTTGGGGTCACTTAGAAATGTCCTTGTTCTCGAAAGAAAAGCAATTTTTTGTCCATTAAAATATCAAATTGATCAGAAATACAGTGTAGACATTGTTCATGTTGTAAATGGCTATTGTAGCTGGAAACGGCTGATTTTTAATGGAATATCTACATAGGCTTACAGAGCCCCATTATCTGCAACCATCAGTCCTGTGTTCCAACGGCACGTTGTGTTTGCTAATCCAAGTTTATCATTTTAAAAAGGCTAATTGATCATTAGAAAACCCTTTTGCAATGATGTTAGCACAGCTGAAAATGGTTGTGCTGATTAAAGAAGCAATAAAACTGGCCTTCTTGAGACTAGTTGAGTATCTAGAGCATCAGCAATTGTGGGTTTGTTTACAGGCTCAAAATGGACAGAAACAAAGAACTTTGTTCTTGTTCTGGCTCTAACCAGAATAGAAAGAGGAGTGGGAGGCCCCAGTGCACAACTGAGCAAGAGGACAAATACATTAGGCGCCTCACAGGTCCTCAACTGGCAGCTTCATTAAATAGTACCTGCAAAACACCAGTCTCAATGTCAACATTGAAGAGGCGACTCCGGGATGCTGACCTTCTAAGCAGAGTTGCAAAGAAAAAGCCATATCTCAGACTGCCCATCTTAATCTTTTCTTTTTATTGGCCAGTCTGAGATATGGCTTTTTCTTTGTATTTTTCACTAATGTATTTGTCCTCTTGCTCAGTTGTGCACTGGTAGCTTAGTGGTTAAGAGCGTTGTGCCAGTAACCGAAAGGTCGCTGGTTCTAATCCCCTAGCTGACTAGGTGAAAAATCAGTCTATGTGCCCTTGAGCAAGGCACTTAACCCTAATTACTCCTGTAAGTCGCTCTGGATAAGAGCGTCTGCTAAATAACTAATTTATTTTTATTCTGGTTAGAGCCAGTTTGCGCTGTTCTGTGAAGGGAGTAGTACACAGTGTTGTACGAGATCTTTAGTTTATTGGCAATTTCTCACATGGAATAGCCTTCATTTCTCAGAACAAGAATAGACTGACGAGTTTCAGAAGAAAGTTATTTGTTTCTGGCCATTTTGAGCGTGTAATCGAACCCACAATTGCTCATGCTCTAGATACTCAACTAGTCTCAAGAAGGCCAGTTTTATTGCATCTTTAAATTAGCACAACAGTTTTCAGCTGTGCTAACATAATTGCAAATGGGTTTTCTAATGATCAATTAGCCTTTTAAAATGATAAACTTGGATTAGCAAACACAACGTGCCATTGGAACACAGGACTGATGGTTGCTGATAATGGGCCTCTATACTTGGGGAGAACAAGTATTTGATACACTACCGATTTTGCAGGTTTTCCTACTTACAAAGCATGTAGAGGTCTGTAATTTTTATCGTAGGTACACTTCAACTGTGAGAGACGGAATCTAAAACAAAAATCCAGAAAATCACATTGTATGATTTTTAAGTAATTAATTTGCATTTTATTGCATGACATAAGTATTTGATCACCTAACAACCAGTAAGAATTCCGGCTCTCACAGACCTGTTAGTTTTTCTTTAAGAAGCCCTCCTTTTCTCCACTCATTACCTGTATTAACTGCACCTGTTTGAACTCATTACCTGTATAAAAGACCTGTCCACACACTCAAACAGACACCAACCTCTCCACAATGGCCAAGACCAGAGAGCTGTGTAAGGACATCAGGGATAAAATTGTAGACCTGCACAAGGCTGGGATGGGCTACAGGACAATAGGCAAGCAGCTTGGTGAGAAGGCAACAACTGTTGGCGCAATTATTAGAAAATGGAAAAAGTTCAAGATGACGGTCAATCACCCTCGGTCTGGGGCTCCATGCAAGATCTCACCTCGTGGGGCATCAATGATCATGAGGAAGGTGAGGGATCAGCCCAGAACTACATGGCAGGACCTGGTCAATAACCTGAAGAGAGCTGGGACCACAGTCTCAAAGAAAACCATTAGTAACACACTACGCCGCCATGGATTAAAATCCTGCAGCGCACGCAAGGTCCCCCTGCTCAAGCCAGCGCATGTCCAGGCCCGTCTGAAGTTTGCCAATGACCATCTGGATGATCCAGAGGAGGAATGGGAGAAGATCATGTGGTCTGATGAGACACAAATATAGCTTTTTGGTCTAAACTCCACTCGCCGTGTTTGGAGAAAGAAGAAGGAAGAGTACAACCCCAAGAACACCATCCCAACCGTGAAGCATGGAGGTGGAAACATGCTTTTCTGCATAGGGGACAGGACGACTGCAGCGTATTGAGGGGAGGATGGATGGGGCCATGTATCGCGAGATCTTGGCCAACAACCTCCTTCCCTCAGTAAGAGCATTGAAGATGGGTCGTGGCTGGGTCTTCCAGCATGACAACGACCCGAAACACACAGCCAGGGCAACTAAGGAGTGGCTCCATAAGAAGCATCTCAAGGTCCTGGAGTGGCCTAGCCAGTCTCTAGACCTGAACCCAATAGAAAATCTTTGGAGGGAGCTGAAAGTCCGTATTGCCCAGCGACAGCCCCGAAACCTGAAGGATCTGGAGAAAGTCTGTATGGAGGAGTGGGCCAAAATCCCTGCTGCAGTGTGTGCAAACATGGTCAAGACCTAAAGGAAACGTATGATCTCTGTAATTGCAAACAAAGGTTTCTGTACCAAATATTAAGTTCTGCTTTTCTGATGTATCAAATACTTATGTCATGCAATAAAATGCAAATTAATTACTTAAAAATCATACAATGTGATTTTCTGGATTTTTGTTTTAGATTCCGTCTCTCACAGTTTTTGTGTACCTATGATAAAAATTACAGACCTCTACATGCTTTGTAAGTAGGAAAACCTGCAAAATCGGCAGTGTATCAAATACTTGTTCTCCCCACTGTAGATATTCCATAAAAAATCATCAGTTTCCAGCTACAATAGCCATTTCAACATTAACAATGTCTATACTGTATTTCTGATCAATTAGATGTTATTTTAATAGACAAATTTTTTTTTTCTTTCGAAAACAAGGACATTTCTAAGTGACCCCAAACTTTTGAACAGTAGTGTACATTTTTGCTTGTCTTGCCCATTTCAAACGTGCTCTAGTCTTTCATGTGTAATGCTTGTGAAACTAGCACAGTAACTTGACACATCACTAAAGTGAATGGCCCATGTTAGCCAACTGGTGCTAGCCAACTGGCATCCTCCACACAGGCAGCACAGAGCTACACAGGGTAATGTACTCTACGGACGTTCCTTCTCGGAGTACACACATCGGTCCAAGTTTCCCCTCTGACCTCACAGCTCACATTACTTAATTAAGAGAGGTATTACGGAGTGGAGAAGGCAGGCAAATGGAGGCATACAAGGGAAAGAGAAGCGTCGTCGCTCAAACCAAACAGGAAGCGCTGTGGAATGTCTTTCCACCACAGGCCAGGCAGGGCCTCCAATAGGCTACCCGCTCTCTGTGTCTCAGTCCAAACCCTGGATCAACTGGGGGCGCGGGTGGACAAATGCAGACGCATGGACACATACACACAGGGATGCCCAAACACAGCCGCAAACACATACAAACATTATGCCCGTACAACCTCATTGTGTGCGTGCGTGATTGTGTGTGTGGGCAGTGAGGGATTACAATGCCTCAGCTATAAAAACCAGACTCTGGCCCACTCAAACACCAAAAACAATATGACAGTTTTGCAAAACAGCCACCACCTAGCAACACCAGCAAAGTTCTACTTTTATTCAGAATCCCGAAAATAACCACTGACCACAGAACTTGAGATGGGTGAGAAAATGTGGTGTGCTTCCAATAGAACTGGTGGTAAAATACGCATTACAACACACCAGTAAGAGTCATTATATTCTACAAGCATGGATCCAAAGCCCTGCAACACAGCCAGCCAATCACCTCTCTCCAATCAGCCCTAGTCTGTCCCATCAGATGGTCCTGCTGGATGGATGAGTCAGAAATAAGGATAACATAAAAATGTGAAATCTAAAATCCACTGCCTTGTCTCTCCTAGAGGGATATTACATTTCTATACATAACATTATCTGTCTGATTCCTTTCCAAATGGTCTGTTATAAAAACTCACACTACCTCAAAGGGCTCTGGAGTCAGGACAGAAAAGTCTAATGGCGTATTATTCTCAGGCTCTAGTCTAGTCTAATGGCTTATTATTCTCAGGCTCTAGTCTAGTCTAATGGCTTATTATTCCCAGGCTCTAGTGTTCAGTATCTAGTCTAGTAGTCGAATGGCTTATTATTCAGGGTCTAGTTTAGTCGAATGGCTTATTATTCACAGGCAGGCAGGGACCCTGTGTTCTCTATCGTTGTTCTCTGGCCAATGGTCACTGGTTGCATAAGAAGCTACTATGAGTGGAGCAGCCAGTCTACAGTGTCAGGACTCAGGCAGCGATCCGTGGCTTAAAGACAATGGGGAGAGAGAGACTGCTGGAGGTTTGATGCTTTTGTAGAGGGAGTCGAGCGGGGCTTTGCTTTGCTGTTCTTCAGTTCAGTCAGTCAGTCCGGGATCAGGCTGCCGTCACACTGAGAGGCTGATAGATAGGCCACTCTAAAATGTGCAGTTTTGTCACACAACACAACGCCACAGATGTCTCAAGTTTTGAGGGAGCGTGCAATTGGCATGCTGTCTGCAGGAATGGCCACCAAAGATGTTGCCAGATAATGTAATGTTAATTTCTCTACCATAAGCCACCAAAGTCGTTTTAGAGAATTTGACAGTACATCCAACCGGCCTCACAACCGCAGACCACGTGTAACCACACCAGCCCAGGACTTTCACTTCCGGCTTTTTCACCTGCGGGATTGTCCGAGTCCAACCACCTGGACAGCTGATGAAACTGAGGAGTATTTCTGTCTGTAAAAAAGCCCTTTTGTGTGGAAAGACTCATTGTGATTGGCTGGGCCAGGCTCCCCAGTGGGTGGGCCTATGTCCTCCCAGGCCCACCCATGGCTGCGCCCCTGCCCAGTCGTGAAATCCATAGATAAGGGCCTAATGAATTTATTTAAATTGACTGAATTCCTTATATGAACGGTAACTCAGTAAAATCTTTGAAATTGTTGCATTTATATATTTGTTCAGCATACATAAACAAATAATTATAACCAATGGTTAACATTGTATACCCATTAATTATGAATCAGTTTTAACTAATGGTTATAACTAATCCACTTGAATCTATTGATGGATGAAGTTTAATGATTGATTACAATGGTATTGTGTTGTTGGATATCTTATTGATCAGCCTGGGAGGCAGAGAGAGAGAACAGGACACTGCCTAATGGGCCCATGTCTGACTCGTATATAATCACAGGGGAGACACAGTATAGTCTGGTGGTCTGGTTTGGCGGGGGCACAGAGAGGGGCCTCTACAGCGGGTGGGCGGGTGTGGCCCACACAGACACTATGTTTACCTCTGCCATTCACCCAACAAGCCACCCCTTCCTTTCCTTTCCTTCCTTCCTTCCTTCCTTCCTTCCTTCCTTCCTTCCTTCCTTCCTTCCTTCCTTCCTTCCTTCCTTCCTTCCTTCCTTCCTTCCTTCCTTCCTTCCTATTCATGCAGCCCTCCTCTCGTTCTCTTCGGTCTCTTTTTCCTCCCTCCTCTGCCTCCCATCCTGTCCATGCAACCCCTCGTCTCCCTCCATTCCTCCCATCTAGTCCATGCAGCCCTCTCTTTCTCTGTCTCTCCCCCTCCCTCCCATCTCAAATCAGGCCAGTGTGGTTCGTCTGGTTTCCAGTCTCACAAATACTGGGGAAGGAAGACGACCCAAACTAGCGATCAGGGGGCCGTGGTGTGCAGGATATCCAGTGTTGCGTCCCAAATGGCAAACAATTCCCTTTAGTGCACTACTTCTGACCAGGCTCCATAGGGCTCTGGTCAAATGTAGTGCAGTATAAAGGGAATAATGTGCCCTTTGGGACACAGCCCAGGCCTGGCTCCCACTCCCACAGGGGAGGTGCCTCCAACAGCCACTGACTGACTGACTATTATGATGCAATCGTCCTCGGTCTGGCCAACCAATGAGATGCTCAGGATCCGACCACCAGAAGTGATGATTATGGAGTGGAACGTGCTGATACTCAAAGTCCCAGATGTCTTACGTTCATTCATGAACTTCGACGTGTTGCTAAATGTCAAATGGAGAATTTTGACGTATATAATATTGAGGTTTGGAGTATAAAGACATAAGAAATAAAGCACAAATAAATTAATCCATTCACACACAAAAATGGCGGCGGGAAAATAACAGTGATTGAGTTTGAGTGCCAAATACATTGTGTGTGTGTGTGTGTGTATATACGCGTCTCCTCCAGAGCCAGTTCCCTGATCCCTAAAGGCCATTCTTTTGTGGTCGGTCACTGGGAGCAGAGCTGAGGCTCTCTGCTCTCCTCTCTGGCTGACAATGGCAGGAAAAGGGAGTAGGAGGGGGCTGCTCACCGCACTGACCTCCACATTGTTCTACTGTGGACGTGAAAGAGGGAGTAGGAGGAGGACAAGAATGGAGGAGGGAGCAGGGCCAAATCCAGTCTCCAGCCCCAGGCAGACCTGTGTTACGTACCGGCCCCAGTTATAGTCATGAGGGCTAGCTGGCTGGCTGAACTCCCCTCTGAGACTCCTGCTCTGGTGCACGTAGACCGGGGGGGGGCCAGCCAGTCTGAGGAGACGTCTTGAGTCTGGCCCTCTGGTCGCTTTGTTCAGCAGGAAGGAACCAGAGCGGACCGAGCGGATGTGTCCTCAGTGACTCTGTGGTCCCGGCCACCACCGGTCAGCCCGCCAGGCCCCTACTGACTGACTGGCTCAGTACCAAAGCACCACCAGAGAGAGAATGTGGGAGCAGGAGGGTAAGCCTCAGCCTGGTGCCAGATCGGTTTGTGCGGTCTTGACAACTTCCATGGTCATTGACATGACAATGACCATAGGAAGTGGCAAAACAGAAAAAACTGATCTGGGACCAGGCTATCACAGCCTTCCTCCCTCCTGGGAAAACAACCAGCAACCAGTCCCACTGAGACAGAGGCAGACGACAGGGGAGGAAGTCTAAGAAATGTGCAGAATGTCACCCTGGACTCCTTATCACTGCCTTAGAGAGAAGACTACAGTTAATCTACTAAAATCTAACTTAATCACCCTGATGTTGACCAACATTAGTTTGATAAGACCATTGAGAGTTTATGAATGACAACAAATGGAGCGACGGACATGAGTGCACACAGGACATGAGCACAAGCACGCTTCCGCGCACGTACACGGAAACAGACAAGCCGGCTCGAACGTCAATGCAAAAACAGAGCCCTTTAAGCAATAGGAAAAGAGAGAATATGATCAAATGCTAGTAATACTCATTGAAATCAAATGGTGCCGGAGGACTTCTGTACACTGCACAGGTCGCAGTCGCACAAACAAGCAGGGTTCATACACTTTTTGACAGATGGAATTTTATGACTTTTCCATGAATTCTCCATGACTTTTAACCAAATTTCCATTACCAATAATTTGTGGCGTCTCTATGTATACATGAAAAAGTACGCATAAATGTGAAATGTCTCTGATCCCACGTACCATCTCCTGCCGTTGCTCCCTTGAGCAAGGCACTTAACCGCCCACAAAGTTGAACAGCAGCATTGTTAGGCTACCGTACAAAACACGTGGTCAACCCTCCATCTGGAAAGCTAATTGGTGTGCAGTGCAGGCTTTTGATCCAGCCCTGCTCAAACACACCCAACTCAGCTTATCAAGGTCCTGTTGAACAGATGATTTTTACAATGTGGTGTGTAATAGCAAAGCAGGAACAAAAGCCTGCACATCCAGTTGCTCTCCTGGGGGATGGTTGGCCACCCTTATATATATATATTTTTAATGTCTTTATAAAATAATTCCCTCTTTCAATGAATCAGGGATCAAATGGCTACAAAGGTAGGCTACTTCATAGCTAACGAAGACATGTTTATCTACAACATTATACGGCTAAAATATTCAGGTTTCAGGGGAGATGTATTGACAGCATGGGAGTTGTTTGTCAATTAGGCAATTCTAAGAATATTTATTTAACGTTGTCAGAATAACATGGCTACTGTTGAATAGAGAGGAACTCCAGCTTTGTATTTCTCATCTACTAATATTCAGTGCTTGAGACATTGTTTTACAACCGTTTTACACCCAAAGTATGTAGCACCTGTCATGTTCATCATCTGCACATCGGCCATTTGAGGTTATTAACGAGTGCCAGTGGAAAGTTTTTATGACATAACGATGACATTAACACATGCTAATAATAGCTAAATAGTCAGATAACAAAAGAACTAGCCAGGATACAAGCTTATTTTAAATTGGCTATCTAGTTAGAGTCTGTTGTCTATCATTATTTCATAGGCTACCTGCTGCTGCAATGTCTCCCTTGCTCTCTGTGACCAACGGCCCATTCGCATGGCACACATAATGTATGCATGTGATGCACATACAGTACACACGGAGACATGCTCTGAAGGGTCATTCCGATCATGGCTGATATGTAGATTTTTACGTGATTGATATGATACTTTAAAAGTTTGCCTAAATTAATTACATGAACCAAAATTGTAAAACTTATTTCCATGACTTTTCTGATTTAATTATTTTTCCAGTCCTGGAATACACAATTTCCAAATTGCCATGACTTTTCCAGGATTTTCATTACTGTATGAACCCTGAACAGGGCAACTAGATGTTGTTAGGGTACTAAAACTAAACTAAAAAAAATTACATATATACAGACACACAAACATCTGTCCTACTCAGCACCACACAAACACAGAGACACAGTTTCATTTCACAGACAGATCCATGCATGACAACACATCACATCAAATTCAGTTGTGTGGATGGGTTGTGTTGTTGACATGCATGCTCAGAATGCCCCAGAGCACACAGAGATGTATAGGCCTGTGTCACAATAACACATCTCCTGTTGACATCATCCGCCAAATGCACACATAGTTGTGTATGTCACAACAGCACGTCTTCTGTTGACATCATCTGCCCAATGACTGAGCTGTCCGTCTGTGTCACTATGAACTATGGGAACATGAGAGGGCTCCCTGCCATGCCATGCTCTTAAAGCTGACCTGACGTAAACGCACACACAGCTCTGTTTCCCATCTCTGCTCGGGTAAGGGTGGGTGGGGACACGACACACACCCACTCCCAGTGTAAACTATGTCAGCAGCGGGAATGAGGAGCGGGAAGGGGCTTGACTCATCTTTAATGAAGCACGTCTCACTCCAGCCCCAGGGATTCATCCTGCAAGAATCTAACCTGTCTACACTGTCATCATAACACAGGCGGTAGGGTGGGAGAGGGGTGTGTGTGTGGAGCAATCAGCAGCATTCGAGGGAAGCCAGCAGCGCTCCCGAGGGACGTGTCTTGCAGAGATATTCTCTCTCTCGCTCTGTCTCTCGGAAGTGACTGTGGAAGTTTTGGAGGAGAGGAGGGTTGTGGGTTACGTAGTCTCTTGGCCCAGATTAGCCCCCTAGAGTTTAAGGGTGAAGACTGTGGAAGTGGCAGGTCACTGTTGACTAACTGCTCTAGTTAGTGTTACATTAACACACAGAGTTCTGTCTGCACAGAGTGTCCCTGTTCCCCATTGCACTGCACTCAGGGCCAGTTTCATCAGACATCATGCCTACATCAGGGTTTGCAACAGACAACAAAAATCTGTGTTGTTATTAGACGATTTCAGGTAGTACCTCACTGTTTCAAAACATTAAAAATGTGTATCCCTACTGAACACTTCCCAAAGCTGCACATATGAACAAGCCCTGATCCTATTCATGATTCTGATTGGCAGGATGTAAACTATTTCTAGCCACACACACAAACATTACACTGACTACCCTTCACCATTAGGGAGACAGAGTGGAACAAACATACAGTAGGCTTCCTTACCACGCCAGCAGCACGTCAGTCCCATGTCAGTCTCTCACATCGCTGTGGAGGAATTTTGGCCCAATCTTTCATGCGAACTGCTTTAACACAGCGACATGTAGCGCTTTTCGAGCATGAAATGCTTGTTGCAGGTCCTGCCACAACATCTCAATCGGGTTATGGTCTGGACTTTGACTAGGCCATTACAAAACATTAGATTTGTTGCTTTTCAGCCATTCTGATGTAGACTTGTGTGTTTTGGATCATTGTCTTATTGCATGGCCCAGCTGCGCTTCAGCTACCACCACCACCACGCTTGACCGTTGGTATGAGGTTCTTACTGTAGAATGCAGTGTTTGGTTTTCGCCAGAAATAACAGCACCCGTGTTGTTTATAAAGTCAACTTAAGTTTGCCAAAAAGCACCTGGATGATCGTCAAGACTCCTGGAAGATTGTTCTATGGATAGGCGAGTCATGGGTCCCATTATTCCTGCCGAAAACCAAACACTGCATTCCACATTCAGAATGTCATTCCAACAGTCAAGCATGGAGGTGGTATTGTGATTGTTTGGGGATGCTTTGCTGCCTGGACGACTTGCCATCATCAAAGAAACCATGAATTCTGCTCTGCATGAGATCATTCTTAAAGGAGAAAATAATTATCTAAATGTTATTTGTTCATTCATGTTCCCTTGATCTAATATTAGGTTTTGGGTGAAGATATAAACAACTAAGTGTAAAGAGTGGACCGAGCTCATAAAGGGGGCAAATATATTTTCACGGCACTGTACACACAGAGCTCCAGTCAGTCAGAGGCATAGCGGCATGGTCTGCTGCTATATTTAGTCAGGTTATCAGTGAGGTAAACCCAGGGACTGACTGGCTGGTCCTGATCACAGGAGCCTAGCAGGGGACAATGGAGAGCTCTATGTGGCTGAGCTACTGAGGCCAACACAGGGCAATGGGCATCAGACCCACTGAATGTCACTATTGACAAACACTGGAAGGGAAACAGGATTGGCATTGCCAGGTCTCGTGAGTGATATTATCAGGCACTGCTGAGTAGAGGAAGCATGATCATAAACACTAATATTCAGTCATCTTGAGGAGGTACTTTCTTTGGTCTATTTTCTACTTTTTTGGCTATGATTTGAGTTTTACTTTCAGGGTCATCCGCATCCTTGCAGTCACAGTTCCTTCCCTTACGTTGTTGTGGGGCGTCTGTGTATTTTAGAATGCAGTCGGTCAAAGGAGACTGTGGGCTGACGTATCATGGTCACAATGAAACGATAACAATAGCCCGGAGACTGGCTTGGCCTGGTGTGGGGTGGCGTCATGGCTGGCTGGCAGGGCAGTGACATGGGCAGGGTGGGGGAATGTGTGTGTGTGTCCTGTCCTGTCCTGTCCTCCTGACCCTCCAGTGCCCCTGTGCCAACATCCTGCCCGTCAGCAGACCACAGCAGAGCAGACAAACCCGACTGGCACACAGTGACGTAGTGCTGTAGACATGCAAGACCCAACCTGGTTGTATCTGTATCCTATTCCTGCCAGCAATAATTGCCCCTTGGGAATGATTAAAGTTTATTGAATTGCATTGCATTGTTTTACAGTCATCTTGGCTAAACAGCTAAATACATTTACACCCCCATCTTGGTAGTGGGGATGAGAAGTGAATGTGTTCCATTTAGGGTTTACAAGCATTGGTAAGATAGATACAGAGATCCAGCTTTATGATGAGGATGGACGGAACTTACGTTGAACCTACCACAGGGTGGCAGTAAAGGGACAACATTTCGCCACTAGATGTCAGTCCACTCACACAAGAATATTAAAAAAAATTCCTTCACTAAAGTACGGTTGTTCCCTCTTTTAACCATCAGGTGGAGCTCCCTACCAACAAGTAGGTTTATGGCCTTGATAGAAAGCAGAACGAGGACAGAGATAAAGACAGAATACTTGATCTACAGAAGAAGATAGAGATAGAGGATAGTTAACTTACGGTAAGGCCTGGCAGGAACTTCTCCATGTCGTTCAGGTTGATCCCATCATCATATTCAAACTTGCCTTTCATCATCCTGAGAGACAGAGAAACAGACAGACTCAGAGACGGAGACAGGATGAATGGGTGTAATAGATGGGGCTCTGATAGGGCCTTCCTTATACAGGGGGCTGTGGCTCATTATCAATTCATCTTTCCTTCATTCCTCACATCCTCTTTCCTCGCCTCCTTCTCAAAACTCATTGGAGAAGAAGTTTGGAGGGGCGGGACCTTGGACCTTCTCCTCCAATATGGTTGAGAAGGATGTGAGGAATGGTGGAAAGAATAATTGAGATTGAGCATATATGATAAGCCAGTACTGAGGTTGAGAGGCCTGGGGCAGGAAGAGTCTAGCAGAGGCTACAGACACCTACAGTTCTAAGTAGTAATGGAATGGACCAGCATCATCATTTTCATGTTTATCCCATGGAAGAGGATCAATGGGAGGGATGTATGGGCTTTCAGATCTGCAAAGAGGAAACATTGAAGGGTTAGGGACAAGGGAAAATGGTAGCGAGTGAGTTTTATTGAATTGAGGCTGAAGATGTACTCACCCCTCTCTGTCGATGTGTGGGAGGTGCTTTGGTGTTCCCCGGAAGGGTTTCCTGTGGAACTGGCTGAAGTCCAGCTTCTCAGGCTGGAGGTCCCACGTCGCCCCCCTACAAAAACAACACAACAGAGGTGAGGAAGATGACATGACAGTTAATACTCAGGCTGGTTGCCCGACTACAACACAGGACAGGAAGAGGTCTGTTAATAGCAGGAAAGACACACAATGTGTTCTTAGAGCATTCATTCACTCAGAGCAGAAACTGAAGTCTCCATTTCTACAAGACCATCACTAACTCTATCTACCCTGCCCACTTCTCTAAGCCCCCAAAACAAGACAAGTGATCATCCATTTAATCACCCAAAACACCCCTGATCTAGCTGCCCCCTAATGATACCTATAGGCAGCCTAGCTACTTTAGGAACACCCCCTGATGATGCCTGGTCATCCTAGCTACTTTAAATGACCCCCTGATGATGCCCAGCTAATAGCTACTTTAAAACTCTCAGACAGATGATGTTACCATATGTTTCACAGTGTGCTGATTAAAACGTAATTCACAAAATTGAAAGAGTGCCAGTTTTAATCCAGCCATTACATTAATCTATCATGAATCTGACAAAGAATATAAAGCTTGTTTGTAAGCAAATACAGCCCCTGGTCACGGGTGTGGGGGGATTCTGGCTAATCCGATTACAGCCTGGTCGTAGTAATAGAGCGAGCTTCCTTCGTGTGTGTGTGGCTTACTTTCTTCCTTCTATACCAACGTAGTTTAACAACCTCTTTGAGGAAAGGTTACCGTGGAATTACCGTGCAGCTGTCGCCATGGCACCCAGCCTCCAGGTACACTGGCGACACCCAACACACAAGAGATTCAAGCCATTGTGTTTTGCGGTGGTGGTGCGGCTTCTTTTTTTAAACCTCCCAAAACAGCTTGTCATCTCATCCCAGAAGAGTTTTGGATATGTGTTCATCTTTGATGCATGTATTTGAAAGAAGGTGTGGCTGTAAATTAATTTAATTTAGCCTGAGGCTAAGCCATTGCTAATGTAGTTATTTTGTTAGAACAGTCTGGCCACTGTGGTTGTTTTGCTCTATCTCCAGTCTGACAACATCAAAGCAGGTAATGTTTTCCTATCATCAGCTTGTCTGGTCTGGAGAGGTTAGCCACCACTATACCAGGACAAGAGACTGTACAGTTTCAAACGCTGAAGACACCTGACGACTCATCCAGAAATTAATTCCTCTGCTCAATCAATACATTCATTCTGAAACAGCCATCCTAGAAGTAGTTTGTGCCGATGTCAAAATGAGGGGCTTTATAAAACAAATTAATCAGCGATTGCATAGTCTCCAACCAATCAGAGTATCAAAGCCAATTGCTTTATTAGTGTAGGCCTGCTCTTGCCCAACCCATCAGTTTCTGGGACCAATCAGAAAGTGTTTGCATTCTACAAGACGTCGGGGAGGAAAGCAAATCCAGACTCGTTAGTGAGCGTGGTGTTTGGCAGGAGCGATGTGGATGGGTAGTCAGGCTAAACCACTCACCCATCCAACCACCCATAAAGACAATGAAGCCTAGGAATGTAAACAGACTCTACAAGCTATACATCTGTAGGAGTTTGTAATAATGTATATTTTTCCTATCCATTGATGGGTAGGAAAACTGGTTGGTCAATACAAGACATACTCATGAGTCCATGGTGTTTGTGTGTGTGCGCGTGTTGTGATGGGGAACTGTGGGGTGGTGAGTAATGAATGAGTAAATAGTACATACATGACATACCCATGAGAGTCCATGGTGTTAGCAGCCCAGATGTCAGTACCCAGGATGTCAAATGACCCTTCTCTGTTCCCGTTCTGAAAGACAACACGTTACAACACTGTATTATCTATATATCACTTTACAGAACATATCTACTACTACAGCTTAATTTTGATCAAAAGGGGTCTCTTATTGTCCACTGTCACAGCGCTTCATTGAAATAATACTTAACTTGCATACTAACACTTACGTTGATGTAGTGACACTAGTTAAAGGGTGTATATGAAACATTTTAACAGGGCAAACTACTGTTACAATTCAACCCAAAAACCACCAAGTAGCCTATTCACAACCAATATTCACCTCATTTCACATAATAATAAAAAACTAGTTTTTTATGTGCATTTGCAGAGACATTCTGAAAAACAGAACGTGCCACTGCAAACATTGCGCACATGTTCAGCATTTCACATCATGTAGCTATCCTATAAAATTATTTTGCAACAAAATGTTCTGACACAATAGCCCAGTCGTCAAATTACATGTCACAACGTTTCGGATAATTTACAGATGTCCATGTTGATAGAGTGATAAATAGATGACAAGGTGATTTGCAAGGTATAGATAGACCTATTAATCACTGCAATGTGCCGATCATAACATCTGTAATATCATAATAATAACACAGTCATTTTGTAATGTAAGATATGAGATGCAGCAATCAAAGGGATGTTCATTCAACAAACAACCAGTTGCTTTCCAACTCAATGCCTAGCCAGGGGAGTAACCTACACATACGTCCAAAAGGCTACTGACTGGGAGTGTACAGTCATAAGGTCTGAATGCTAGCTGTCTCATCTTAGAAAACACGCCATTGTCTCTGCCTAGAAAACTCCTCCGACAAGCCTATTATTCAAGCCATTATTGGAGGGACAGCATATCGCACGAGAGAGACAGAGAGAGGAGTTGGCAGCCCGCAGGACCACTGGGCACCGGGACTATAGCTGCTCACATTTCAAAACGTAGGCTACTTCTAATAAAGTTAACAAAGCACTCACTAGTCTAGCTAGCTAGCTACTTTAATGAATAGCTAGATGCAGATATGTTGATTACAGAAACTGTGCAAAGCTGGTGGACTTGATACGCCATTCTAAATCATTGATGGGCCAGGCGCTGCTTGTAATAGACTTGCGCACCCTCGTCTCCACATTTCAGCACCACAGCCAGCTTTCAACTACTACTAGGCTACTGTATTGACAACAGAAATGCTACAGTCATTTGAATACATCTATAAAGTAGTTACATTTACATTTTAGTCATTTAGCAGACGCTCTTATCCAGAGCGACTTACAGTTAGTGAGTGCATACATCATTATTTTTTTAATATATTTTTTATATATATATTTTTTTTTTACTGGCCCCCCGTGGGAAATGAACCCACAACCCTGGCGTTGCAAACGCCATGCTCAACCAACTGAGCTACATCCCTGCCGGCCATTCCCTCCCCTATCCTGGACGACGCTGGGCCAATTGTGCGCCGCCCCATGGGTCTCCCGGTCACGGCCGGCTACGACAGAGCCTAGTTCAAAAAGAGGTAGCCTACATCCAACAAAGTGGTTAAGGTTATGGCCACAGAATTAGATCCCGACTGAGCATGCACGCATGCTTATGTCATGCAATAAAATGCAAATTAATTACTTAAAAATCATACAATGTGATTTTCTGGATTTTTGTTTTAGATTCCGTCTCTCACAGTTGAAGTGTACCTATGATAAAAATTACAGACCTCTACATGCTTTGTAAGTAGGAAAACCTGCAAAATCGGCAGTGTATCAAATACTTGTTCTCCCCACTGTATGTAGATGCTCAAAAAAGAGATGAATGTATATTTCTAAAATCAGATACCTATATGAATGAATATGCAGGTCCATCAATTCTGGTATTAGGCAATGGGCTATCGATTTCATCAAAAAGATTCATCCTTTTCCCAGTTACTTCTATGGCCACTGCTATACTCTGAGCATGTGCTGACCAACTGGCAAGTGTCTTCACTGACATTTTCAACATGTCCCTGACTGAGTCTGTAATACCAACATGTTTCAAGCAGACTACCATAGTCCCTGTGCCCAAGGACACTAAGATAACCTGCCTAAATGACTACCGACCCGTAGCACTCACATCTGTAGCCATGAAGTGCTTTGAAAGGCTGGTCATGGCTCACATCAACACCATTATCCCGGAAACCCTAGACCCACTCCAATTTGCATACCGCCCCAACAGATCCACAGATGATGCAATCTCTATTGCACTCCACACTGCCCTTTCCCACCTGGACAAGAGGAACACCTACGTGAGAATGCTATTCATTGACTACAGCTCAGCGTTCAACACCATAGTGCCCTCAAATCTCATCACTAAGCTAAGGACCCTGGGACTAAACACCTTCCTCTGCAACTGGATCCTGGACTTCCTGACGGGCCGCCCCCAGGTGATAAGGGTAGGTACAAACACATCTGCCACGCTGATCCTTAACACGGGGGCCCCTCAGGGGTGCGTGCTCAGTCCCCTCCTGTACTCCCTGTTCACCCATGACTGCATGGCCAGGCACAACTCCAACACCATCATTAAGTTTGCCGACGACACAACAGCGGTAGGCCTGATCACCGACAACGATGAAACAGCCTATAGGGAGGAGGTCAGAGACCTGTCCGTGTGGTGCCAGGATAACAACCTCTCCCTCAACGTGATCAAGACAAAGGAGATGATTGTGGACTACAGGGAAAAAAAGAGGACTGAGCACGCCCCCATTCTCATCGATGGGGCTGTAGTGGAACAGGTTGAGACCTTCAAGTTCCTTGGTGTCCACATCACCAACAAACTATCATGGTCCAAACACACCAAGACAGTCGTGAAGAGGGCACGACAAAGCCTATTCCCCCTCAGGAGACTGAAAATATTTGGCATGGGTCCTCAGATCCTCAAAAAGTTCTACAGCTGCACCATCGAGAGCAACATGACTGGTTGCAATACCGCCTGGGTATGTCAACTGCTCAGCCTCCGACCGCAATGCACTACAGAGGGTAGTGCGTACGGACCAGTACATCACTGGGGCCAAGCTTCCTGCAATACAGGACCTCTATACCAAGCGGTGTCAGAAAAAGGCCCTACAAATGGTCAAAGACTCCAGCCACCCTAGTCATAGACTGTTCTCTCTGCTACCGCACGGCAAGCGGTACCTGAGTGCCAAGTCTAAGTCCAAAAGGCTTCTCAACAGCTTCTACCCCCAAGCCATAAGACTCCTGAACAGCTAATCATGGCTATGCGGACTATTTGCACTGCCCCCCCCCCCCACCCCATCCCCCTCTTTTACTCTGCTGCTACTCTGTTTATTATTTATGCATAGTCACTTTAACTCTACCCACATGTACATACAGTGGGGAAAGAAAGTATTTAGTCAGCCACCAATTGTGCAAGTTCTCCCACTTAAAAAGATGAGAGAGGCCTGTAATTTTCATCATAGGTACACGTCAACTATGACAGACAAATTGAGAATTTTTTTTCCAGAAAATCACATTGTAGGATTTTTTATGAATTTATTTGCAAATTATGGTGGAAATTAAGTATTTGGTCACCTACAAACAAGCAAGATTTCTGGCTCTCACAGACCTGTAACTTCTTCTTTAAGAGGCTCCTCTGTCCTCCACTCGTTACCTGTATTAATGGCACCTGTTTGAACTTGTTATCAGTATAAAAGACACCTGTCCACAACCTCAAACAGTCACACTCCAAACTCCACTATGGCCAAGACCAAAGAGCTGTCAAAGGACACCAGAAACAAAATTGTAGACCTGCACCAGGCTGGGAAGACTGAATCTGCAATAGGTAAGCAGCTTGGTTTGAAGAAATCAACTGTGGGAGCAATTATTAGGAAATGGAAGACATACAAGACCACTGATAATCTCCCTCGATCTGGGGCTCCACGCAAGATCTCACCCCGTGGGGTCAAAATGATCACAAGAACGGTGAGCAAAAATCCCAGAACCACATGGGGGGACCTAGTGAATGACCTGCAGAGAGCTGGGACCAAAGTAACAAAGCCTACCATCAGTAAGACACTACGCCGCCAGGGATTCAAATCCTGCAGTGCCAGACGTGTCCCCCTGCTTAAGCCAGTACATGTCCAGGCCCATCTGAAGTTTGCTAGAGTGCATTTGGATGATCCAGAAGAGGATTGGGAGAATGTCATATGGTCAGATGAAACCAAAATAGAACTTTTTGGTAAAAACTCAACTTGTCGTGTTTGTAGGACAAAGAATGCTGAGTTGCATCCAAAGAACACCATACCTACTGTGAAGCATGGGGGTAGAAACATCATGCTTTGGGGCTGTTTTTCTGCAAAGGGACCAGGACGACTGATCCGTGTAAAGGAAAGAATGAATGGGGCCATGTATCGTGAGATTTTGAGTGAAAACCTCCTTCCATCAGCAAGGGCATTGAAGATGAAACGTGGCTGAGTCTTTCAGCATGACAATGATCCCAAACACACCACCCGGGCAAAGAAGGAGTGGCTTCGTAAGAAGCATTTCAAGGTCCTGGAGTGGCCTAGCCAGTCTCCAGATCTCAACCCCATAGAAAATCTTTGGAGAGAGTTGAAAGTCTGTGTTGCCCAGCGACAGCCCCAAAACATCACTGCTCTAGAGGAGATCTGCATGGAGGAATGGGCCAAAATACCAGCAACAGTGTGTGAAAACCTTGTGAAGACATACAGAAAACGTTTGACCTGTGTCATTGCCAACAAAGGGTATATAACAAAGTATTGAGAAACTTTTGTTATTGACCAAATACTTATTTTCCACCATAATTTGCAAATAAATTCATTAAAAATCCTACAATGTGATTTTCTGGATTTCTTTTCGAATTTTGTCTGTCATAGTTGACGTGTACCTATGATGAAAATTACAGGCCTCTCTCATCTTTTTAAGTGGGAGAACTTTCACAATTGGTGGCTGACTAAATACTTTTTTCCCCCCACTCTATTAACTCAATTACCTTGACTAGCCGGTGCCCCCGCACATTGACTCTGTACCGGTACCCCCCTGTATATAGCCTCCCTACTGTTATTTTATTTTACTGCTGCTCTTTAGTTATTTGCTTTAATTTTTTTTACTTAACACTTTTTTATTTTACTTTTTCTTCAACTGCATGGTTGGTTAAGGGCTTGTAAGTAAGCATTTCACTGTAATGTCTACACCTGTTGTATTCGGCGCATGTGGCAAATAAAATGTGATTTGATTTGATTGATAGTAATAAGTTGCAGTTGATTGACTGGTTCCTTGAGTGAAGTCAAAGTCCATTATTTCACAACGGCAAACATCCAGAATGTTCAAAAGTACTTTGCAAAAAGTTGGTTTAAAGTTCATATTGTTTATTTTTAATAAATGTTAATATACTGAACAAAAATAAATGCAACATGTAAAATGAGCTGAAATAAAAGATCCCAGAAATGTTCCGTATGCACAAAAAGCTTATTTGTCTCAAATTTTGGGCACACATTTGTTTACATCCCTAATAGTGAGCATTTCTCCTTTGCCAAGACAATCCAACCACCTGACAGGTGTGGCATATCAAGAAGCTGTTTAAACAGCATGATCATTATACAGGTGCACCTTGTGCTGGGGACAATAAAAGGCCACTCTAAAATGTGGAGTTTTGTCATTCAACACAAAGCCACAGATGTCAAGTTGAGGGAGTGTGCAATTGGCATGCTGACTGCAGGAATTTCCAACAGAGCTGTTGCCAGATAATTTAATGTTAATTTCTCTACCATAAACTGCCTCCAACCTCATTTTAGAGAATTTGGCTGTACGTCCAGCAGGCCTCGTGTAACCACGCCAGCTCAGTATGTCCATATCCGGCTTCTTCACCTGTGGGGGGTTGTGGAGCGCTAAGGAGTATTTCTGTCTGTAATAAAGGGGGAAAACTCATTCTGATTGGCTGGGCGTGGCTCCCCAGTGCGTGGGCCTATGCCCTCCCAGGCCAACCCACAGCTGTGCCCCTGCCCAGTCATGTGAAATCCATAGAAGGACAACCATCTCTGCAGCACTCCACCAATCAGGCCTTTATGGTAGAGTGGCCAGACAGAAGCCATTCCTCAGTAAAAGGCACATGATGGCCTTCTCTGGTTTGATGAAACCAAGATTGAACTCTTTGGCCTGAATGCCAAATGTCACGTCCGGAGGAAACCTGGCACCATCCCTACGGTGAAACATGGTGGTGGCAGCATCATGCTGTGGGGATGTATTTACAGCAGCAGGGACAGACAACTTTACCAGGATGAATTAAACTAAAAAACGTGCAAATGTCAAGCGCTTTCCAAAAAAAGCCTAATCTCTCAACAAGCAAGATAAATGTTGTTTGCTTAGCTAGCTAGCTACATGCCAAATGGATAGGCTACCCTCCCTCACGTATCTGAAAATACAGGAATTGATGTTTCCTGATCATGAAAAGCATGCAGTTAGTTGCTGTAACTGTTTATAGAGCTAAATGTCTGGGGACGTGGTGGTCTACTGTAAAAGCAGTAGTATGGTTAGTTACCTGTACCTTGGCTGGCCCTCTGAATTGGTTGTTCCTCCCTCTGCTACCAGACCTGGAGCCTGAACCAGGTCTAGAGCCAGAGCTGGGCCTGGACCCTGTACTGCCATTACTACTGTGATCCCACTCATCCTGCAGAGAGGGGATAGACAGAGAGAGACAGACATTGACAGAGAGAGACAGACAGAGACAGTGGGAGGAAGAGAGTGATTAAGCGATCAATACCATATCAAATCCTCCTTTGCAGAAAACGCAGAACATGTGATATGTAATGCTGATTGAATTGTCAAGAAGACACATTTCTATTATCTATGAGGGAGGAGAGTGGAGAGTAAGGATCCAATATATTCCCATCCACAGTTCGTGGTTAGCAGCGGTGTGGGATAATAAATGGAGATATGTCTGTAATTGTCTATCAGGCAGGTCTGTGTCTGCTGCCGAGTCTGAAGACCATTTACATGATGAATGTTACCACGAGCACTGAGGGAGGGAGGAAGGGGGAGGAAGAGAGAGAGAGGTGTGGGTGGAGGGAGGTGCGTTGTTCATGTTGGGAAGCAAGGGAGAGGGAGAATGCCAACAGGGCTGGTAACCCCTAGCAACCACAGCTCCCCGTGGCCATTCTGACTCGGTGATGCTAAGCACAAATGACTGCTGCAGGCTGAATAAAGGTTGCAGCAGCCAGTGACTGTTTTGTCCCAATGGTCACACTCTGGCCCTATACCCTAGTACAGGCTGGCTGGCTGCATACAGGTTGACAAATAGAGCTGCCAGTCAGTGCCTTGGTTCAGTGGACACCTCTTAACCCTACTACAGACTGCCTGCCTGACTGGCTGGGGTATTCTGCTATCCCCTGGTGTCCCGTTCCCCCTCAGTTATATCCTTCCCTAGTGGTTTGTGTGTGTGTACATTCCGCAGAGCAGTTTTAGAGTTCAATCTGATATCTGATCTACGGTCAGTAGAAGGGAGGGAGCTCCTAAGGCCTCTGATCTCTCCTGGTCTCCATGCACACCAGACCTGGGTCCTGTTCAGTACGGCACACTGTAGTAAAACATTTTGCAACCGTAAAAAAAGTAATAATGTTCAGGTACCTCCCAGTTTCACTCATTTTCTTTTAAACGTTTTCTCCCAGATGCACACAAACCAGACCCACAACACTGTACGCAGATACCACACAGAGAGAGACTCAATAGGCCAGAAGGTCATGTTCTCTGTTAATTCAATTCCATGTAATTTGATTATTTCATCAGTGCCTCTCACAAAGTCATTTGTCAGACTTAACGCAGCCACTTTATCCCACCAAACGACAGCCTTGGGTTACAGTGCTTGGAAAGAAAAAAAATATTTCAGGCGATGATGATACGAAGAATAATATCTCGCTCCTTTTCCTTAGTCCACAGTAACAGCTGAGAGGGAGAAAGACTAAAGCTCTCTCTCCAGCAACACACGCCTTTATGACCTAAGGTACAAACTATTAATACTGACCCAAAAAGAAATCTTTCTCTCAACCTCAGTCACCTCTTCATACAGTATCAATGTATTGTTACCATAACACAACCTATAGGCCCAACTATAGAAGCATTTTTACATGCACATACTAACCATGTCAGGTAATGGACTGGAGCAAAATCAAAACCTTACATTACTCAAAGCCATGGCAGTTTGTCTAAGTATCAGAGCCTGAGGTAGCTTGTATGTAGCGGAGAGAGCAGGCCTGGTTATGGGGAGCCCCTAGAGCAGGGGTCTCCAACCTTTTCTAGCATGAGAGCTACTTTTTTAAAAACAAATAGGCACAATCTTCTCCTCTACCCTGCAACTCGTTCCCAGGTCCTTTGTGTAAAATAAATGTGTTTTCTGTCAATATTCCTGGTAAAATAGTGGCATGATTTGGCATGTCAGTCCCCATAAAATTATATTTTGTATTTTCCTGAATTATGGTCTGTTTTTTTCCCCTGTTTTTTCCCCCCCAACTCTCAATATTACAATTATTTCCAGAGAAACAAGGTAAACATGTTTTTTTTGTATACAAAGATTTTGCAGTGCAAATCCCCTTTAATTGTGCATCTAGCAAGAGCAATGTGTCAGTCTAGTGATGTTTCTCCTGTTAGGCCTACTGCTGCAGCACGTCATGGCAGACTTTGTAAAACAATTGATACAAATAATGATGGTATAGTTCTGGCAGGTAAGCCTATTTTGCATTTAGTTGAACGTTTTTTGGGAAAGTATTTCTGTCTACCCCACTGAGCTACCCACAAGACGGTTATCATTAGCATCGCTAACTGGTTACATACGGAAGGATAAACAAAACGCACGCACCAGACAGGGACAATATTGTGTTACTTTTGGCTTTTAGTGCTAACCAAGGGTGGGATAATGTCAATGTGGCTTTGATTGGATAGTAGCCGGAAGCTTATGACAGTTTGCGATGGAACAAATAAAAAAATGCATGTACTTTCAGAATTGCTTGGCGAGCTACTCATAGGTGGTCTGCGAGCTACTGGTAGTACTACCTGTTGGAAACCCCTGCCCTACTAGGGCAAGGTGTGTATGTGTGCCTTAGGGCGGAGGAGGCCTTTACAGGCCTGTGTTAAAAGAATAAGATGAGCTAGTGTGAAATCTCCAGCCTTGGGTCTGCCTCCTCTCAAACGCATGCATGCATACTTCAAAACAAATATTTATATTTTTGCTAGGTAGAGTTAGCTAGTGAGCCAACATGTTTCAAACTAATTTTCTCATTCTCTCTCTCGTCTCTCTGCAGCAGACATATACAATATGTTTGGAACATCAAATCGCAATAAAATCGCAGTATAGAATTGCAAAAGACATATAGAATAGTGAGAAATCGCTTTACATATCGTATCGTGATATCGTATCGTGCCCTAGAGAACAGACCCTGGCCAAGCAGTGGTCCTACACAATCAAACACACACTAACAATGGAACACTACCACACATCATTGGTTGAAACAGGAAGAGACAGAGAGAGCCAGAGAGACATGTGCGTCTCCCTGCACCCTGTGCTAGCAGAGATGGACAAACGCACTCTGCCACGTCGTCATGCCAATAGGCGCAGACAAACACAAAGCCGGAGGCGGCACATGGGGGAAACCCGATCCACCGGACTAAAAGAACCCTGGCTGTGACGTCAGCATTCAGAAACAAAACAGAACACGACCCTGTTCTCAGTTATACAACTGGGCTACAACCCCTTATATTCCACCACTGACAGAAGAACACCTACTGTACCATGATTTCCCAGGGTAGTTAGCTATACAAACACACTAGCACCATAAAGCCCATGCAAATAGGAGGAGGATTAGTGAGATAGGTCTCAATTTATGACCAGCCAGTCTGGATATGTTATCAGCCCAGCAGCCCGCATGCCCGGTGGAAACTCACTTAGGCCTACACTTTGCAAGCGCTGAACACTTGTCTTCATCCATCCTACACTTCAGCAGAGCCTCGAACTGAGATACATCGTAGTCAAAGCTGCCATCATCAGAGATTAAATAAGTTGAATTCAAAATGCATCTGGTCTCTTTTAGCATGGAGCTTGCTTATGACGGTTGTGTCCTAAGGGCATTTGCTATATGACCAAAGAAGTGGACACCCAATGAAACAGCAGTAATGTGCTGTATGTATGTATGACTGTTAGTAACCTCGGCTGACATTGAGAGCTCATTTCCCTCTAATGAAATGATCGTACATGGAGGTTCAGCACAGCTGTGTGTTAAGTGTAGACCTTCAGCCAGCCAGCATTTCCTCCAGAGTCCAGACACATACACAGTCCACAAACTCACTGGTTTGGTGGAGCCCCTCCCCCACGAGGGTGACCAACTCCCGTCCTTCTTGTCATTGCAGTCCTCTGTCCACTAGGTCAGAGAGAGGGAGAGAGAGGGGGAACATTTGAATGGCAATTACTCACTATTTTGTGAGAGAGGGAGAGAGAGGGGGAACATTTGAATGGCAATTACTCACTATTTTGTGACGATGGTGAAAAGAAAGACATTTACACATTTCTCCTTCTCCTCCCTCTGCCAGCTGGTCAATGTTGTCCCCTAATTTTTGCTTGGCTATTTTGTGAATGCCGCTCAGCTGGCAATGCATCCCATGAGGTAAACTACCCCAGTTTTCTGTGCACGTACGAGAGCCACCAGGTTTAGTGCAATGGGAAGTTCTGGAGTTACAGTGCATTCGGAAAGTATTCAGACCCTTTTACTTTTTCCACATTTTGTTACGTTACAGCCTTATTCTAAAATATATAACATATTTTTTTTCATCAGCAATCTATACACAATACCCCATAATGACCAAAGCGAAAGTACACGTCAACTATGACAGACAAATTGAGAAAAAATAATCCAGAAAATCACATTGTAGGATTTTTAATGAATTTATTTGCAAATTATGGTGGAAAATAAGTATTTGGTCACCTACAAACAAGCAAGATTTCTGGCTCTCACAGACCTGTAACTTCTTCTTTAAGAGGCTCCTCTGTCCTCCACTCGTTACCTGTATTAATGGCACCTATTTGAACTCGTTATCAGTATAAAAGACACCTGTCCACAACCTCAAACAGTCACACTCCAAACTCCACTATGGCCAAGACCAAAGAGCTGTCAAAGGACACCAGAAACAAAATTGTAGACCTGCACCAGGCTGGGAAGACTGAATCTGCAATAGGTAAGCAGCTTGGTTTGAAGAAATCAACTGTGGGAGCAATTATTAGGAAATGGAAGACATACAAGACCACTGATAATCTCCCTCGATCTGGGGCTCCACGCAAGATCTCACCCCGTGGGGTCAAAATGATCACAAGAACGGTGAGCAAAAATCCCAGAACCACATGGGGGGACCTAGTGAATGACCTGCAGAGAGCTGGGACCAAAGTAACAAAGCCTACCATCAGTAACACACTACGCCGCCAGGGACTCAAATCCTGCAGTGTCAGACGTGTCCCCCTGCTTAAGCCAGTACATGTCCAGGCCCGTCTGAAGTTTGCTAGAGTGCATTTGGATGATCCAGAAGAGGATTGGGAGAATGTCATATGGTCAGATGAAACCAAAATAGAATGGAAACATCATGCTTTGGGGCTGTTTTTCTGCAAAGGGACCAGTACGACTGATCCGTGTAAAGGAAAGAATGAATGGGGCCATGTATCGTGAGATTTTGAGTGAAAACCTCCTTCCATCAGCAAGGGCATTGAAGATGAAACGTGGCTGGGTCTTTCAGCATGACAATGATCCCAAACACACCGCCCGGGCAACGAAGGAGTGGCTTCGTAAGAAGCATTTCAAGGTCCTGGAGTGGCCAAGCCAGTCTCCAGATCTCAACCCCATAGCACATCTTTGGAGGGAGTTGAAAATCAGTGTTGCCCAGCGACAGCCCCAAAACATCACTGCTCTAGAGGAGATCTGCATGGAGGAATGGGCCAAAATACCAGCAACAGTGTGTGAAAACCTTGTGAAGACTTACAGAAAACGTTTGACCTGTGTCATTGCCAACAAAGGGTATATAACAAAGTATTGAGAAACTTTTGTTATTGACCAAATACTTATTTTCCACCATAATTTGCAAATAAATTCATTAAAAATCCTACAATGTGATGTTCTGGAGAAAAAAAATCTAATTTTGTCTGTCATAGTTGACGTGTACCTATGATGAAAATTACAGGCCTCTCATCTTTTTAAGTGGGAGAACTTGCACAATTGGTGGCTGACTAAATACTTTTTTCCCCCACTGTATATACACACCTTATTTACATAAGTATTCAGACTCTTTGCTATGAGACTCGAAATTGAGCTCAGGTGCATCCTGTTTCCATTGATCATCCTTGAGATGTTTCTACAACTTGATTGAACGTATTTGCTTTGTCATTATGGGGTAATGTGTGTAGATTGATGAGGGGAAAAAAACTATTTAAATCAATGATTTTAAACTAATCCTGGGTCGCTAATTATTGGTTTGATAACAAACAACGTTGTTCAGTCATGTTACCTAGCTAGCTAACAACCTGGTAACTTGACAGTAGGTTTAGGTACATTTGATTGGCACAGGAAGAAAGGAAAAGGCTATTCATGAGATGGGGGCGGCAGGTAGCTTAGTGGTTAAGAGCGTTGTGCCAGTAACCGAAAGGTCGCTGGTTCTAATCCCCAAGCCGACTAGGTGAAAAATCTGTCGATGTGCCCTTGAGCAAGGCACTTAACCCTAATTGCTCCTGTAAGTCACTCTGGATAAGAGCGTCTGCTAAATAACAAAAAATAATAATAATAATCTTCTACAAAATGGTAAGATTCATATAGGCCTATTTTAAGCCTAAACTATATCAAAAATCTATTTATTCTGTTTGGTGCCTAACGTTTTAAATGTTGGGAGCAGTGGGTGTATGTGTGTTTGTGGGAGAGAGAGTGGTGTGTGTTTATGAGTGTGAGGGAGACAGAGAGCGTGTGAGGGAGGGAGAGTGTGTGTGTGTGTTAACTGAAGAGTAAAGAAGGTTTCATGCAGTGTTTTCCCCTTACTGACACAATGACATGCAGATCATTATGCACGTACATCACAGGAAGTTGGTGGCAACTTAATTGGGGAGGACGGGCTTGTGGTAATGGCTGTAGCGGAATGAGTGAAATGGTATCAAACACACGATTTCTATGTGTTTGATGCCATTCCATTTGCGCCGTTCCAGCCATTATTCTGAGCCGTTCTCCCTTCAGCAGCCTCCACTGATGTATATTCCTTCCTCCCATTCCTCCAGCCAAATCACAGGTAGGCCTTTTCAAATATGCGCAAATCAGCTGTTCTATGCTGTATTCTATTATACACTGAACAGTGTGAAGTTATATGTAATGTGTTGTATTGAGTAGAAGTGTGAATTTCAGTGACAGGTTTTTGGAGAACGGGGGATGGGGGATGGGGTGAACAGGATGCTAGGCCACTGATTGTTTTCCACCATGGTATCGCGATACTATTTGGTATCGTGATACTTGGCCTGGTATCGTATTGTTTGTAAAATGTTGGTATCGTGACAAGCCTAGTCTATTAGCATCAGCATCATTGTAGCCACTCTGGTCCCGTTTAGCATTAGCCTTAGCTAACCTGTGAAATGTGGGACTGGGGCTTGTTGTCTCCGTCTAGGTCTGTCTCGCTCTTGTCTCCCAGTAGGCCTTGCACTTGGTACTCCAGCACATAGCTGTCGATGAAGCGCTCCAGCTCCTCAATCTCCTGCGAGCGCGTGCTGCCAGCCTCCGAGGACGCGGACGCCACCGACGAGTTTTCCATGGCGACCTGCTGCCTGCCCGCCAGCGGGGGAGGGAGGGAAGGAGGAGGGGACCTGCAGAGAGGTGCGGGAGAAACAGCTGGTTAGTAAAGAGATCAAAACAAAAACATGACAGCAGCATTTCCACTTAAAACCACCATGTTGAGTCAAGAATCTATAAGTGAGTAATTTAGACAGATAGTTCAATCATTTTCAGTCGTCTATTTTTTTTGTTTCCATTCAAGAAAGTTCATTCAAAAACGTCCATTCAGGAAATGTCAAATAGTCACTGTTACAGACTTCTCAGAAGACTGAACATCAAATCCAAACCACCCCCATTCAGGGCACAGCTGTAATTACACTACTCCACCAGCAGGGGAGGCAAAGTGTGTTTACATCCGAGACAGAGTTGGCTTTCAGTCCTACTGCTACGCCCAGGCCCAGCAGGCAGCAGAACAACAAGTCTAGTCCCAGTCAGTCTGTCTCACCTCCTAACCTTGTCCCCAGACCAGAGCCAGACACAGTCAGTTATGAAACAGGACACCTTTGTCTCTCTGCAGGGGTTTTACTAAGGCCAAGAGAGAGCAATAGTAACGGCGTCTTTTTGTAGGCACCAACTCCGCCATGGCTCGTTGGCCAAAGCCTATGGGGATATTAAATGCCGAAATGAAGGTCTGTAGTAAACACCAGCTTAGCAGATCTTATACGTTTTGTTCTATGTGATAATCTTCATGAGCTAAGGTCACTTTTTGTGAATTTTGAAGCATTTATGTAATCAAAACAAGCACATAAAGGCTTCATAATTCATACAGGTCATGTTAACACACTGATATTATCTCATAGAACAAAACATATAAAGATCTTCTAAGCCTGTGTTAACCTCACACCTTATTTTCCCTATTCATTCCCCCATAGGAATGGCTGATCGAATCAGAGGTAACTAAATTTCAGTTTTTTAGGACTACAAGATGGCGAGCTCTATGCCTTTCACCCAGCTTCCATCCTCCTTCCTTCACTTTCTTTCTCTCCCTCTTCCCAACTCTACCTCTCCTTCCCTGTGTGTGATCTGACAGTGATGTGTCTGTGTTGGTGGTCACATGACTAAGGCCTGCTGCTAAGCTCCTTTACACATCTACCCTGCCTGAGCACTGGCCATACCATGCAAGAGGATTTACTATGGGAGCAGAGCAGCCTGAATAGTGGTATAGTAGTTAGGCCTGTGTTGAGGCCTGCCTTTGTTTTGGTTTTTAGTAAAGCTAATCAATGTACACAGCTAATAAATCAAGAGAGATAACTGTCATTGAGCAAACTGGGGCACAGAGTAGCCTACATACAACCAATTAATAGGGGGAGGAATTCAGACAGTAATTTTCTTCTTTACAATGGACATTAGGCTACTACACAGACTGATAAATACGTCTTGTTCCTGTACCTTTACGCACTAATGCTCTTATCTTCATTCTATAGCTGCAGGGCCTAAAGGTTTTAATCTCACTGTGTGTAGATATGATCCACTAATACTGGGGCCTGATTAGCCTAGCTAATGAGGTTAATGCTAACTCCACTGATGGCTACTCATTCACCAGTAGACCACACTAAAAGTAGACTGGCTGACGCGACTCACGTGGTCCACAGCGAGGGAGAGCTGTGACACACTGGTCTGAACAGGAGTCCGTTAGTGCAGTATTCGGGGGGGGGGGGGGGGGGGGGGGGGGGGGGAGTAGTGTAGTTACATACAGTTGAAGTCGGAAGTTTACATACACCTTAGCCAAATACTTTTAAACTCAGTTTTTCACAATTCCTGACATTCCTGGTCAGTTAGGATCAGCACCTTATTTTAAGAATGTGAAATGTCAGAATAATAGCAGAGAGAGTGATTTATTTCAGCTTTTAATTATTTCATCACATTCCCAATGGGTCAGAAGTTTACATACACTCAATTAGTATTGGGTAGCATTCCCTTTAAATTGTTTAACTTGGGTCAAACATTTCGGGTAGCCTTCCTCAAGCTTCCCACAATAAGTTGGGTGAATTTTGGCCCATTCCTCCTGACAGAGCTGGTGTAACTGAGTCAGGTTTGTAGGCTTCCTTGCTTGTACCCGCTTTTTCAGTTCTGCCCACAAATGTTCTATAGGATTGAGGTCAGGGCTTTGTGATGGCCACTCCAATAACTTGACTTTGTTGCCCTTCAGCCATTTTGCCACAACTTTGGAAGTATGCTTGGGGTCATTGTCCATTTGGAAGACCCATTTGCGACCAAGCTTTAACTTCCTGACTGATGTCTTGAGATGTTTCATCAGCCTAGAGGACATTTCTCCAAAAAGTACGATCTTTGTCCCCATGTGCAGTTGCAAACCGTAGTCTGGCTTTTTTATGGTGGTTTTGGAGCAGTGGCTTCTTCCTTGCTGAGCGGCCTTTCAGGTTATGTCGATATAGGACTTGTTTTACTGTGGATGTACAGTGAGGGAAAAAAGTATTTGATCCCCTGCTGATTTTGTACGTTTGCCCACTGACAAAGAAATGATCAGTCTATAATTTTAATGGTAGGTTTATTTGAACAGTGAAAGACAGAATAACAACAAAATAATCCAGAAAAACGCATGTCAAAAATGTTATAAATTGATTTGCATTTTAATGAGGGAAATAAGTATTTGACCCCCTCTAAATCAGAAATATTTCTGGCTCCCAGTTGTCTTTTATACGGGTAACGAGCTGAGATTAGGAGCACACTCTTAAAGGGAGTGCTCCTAATCTCAGCTTGTTACCTGTATAAAAGACACCTGTCCACAGAAGCAATCAATCAATCAGATTCCAAACTCTCCACCATGGCCAAGACCAAAGAGCTCTCCAAGGATGTTAGGGACAAGATTGTAGACCTACACAAGGCTGGATTGGGCTACAAGACCATTGCCAAGCAGCTTGGTGAGAAGGTGACAACAGTTGGTGCGATTATTTGCAAATGGAAGAAACACAAAATAACTGTAAATCTCAATCAGCCTGGGGCTCCATGCAAGATCTCACCTCGTGGAGATGCAATGATCATGAGAACGGTGAGGAATCAGCCCAGAACTACACGGGAGGATCTTGTCAATGATCTCAAGGCAGCTGGGACCATAGTCACCAAGAAAACAATTGGTAACACACTACGCCGTGAAGGACTGAAATCCTGCAGCGCCCGCAAGGTCCCCCTGCTCAAGAAAGCACATATACAGGCCCATCTGAAGTTTGCCAATGAACATCTGAATGATTCAGAGGAGAACTGGGTGAAAGTGTTGTGGTCAGATGAGACCAAAATCGAGCTCTTTGGCATCAACTCAACTCGCCGTGTTTGGAGGAGGAGGAATGCTGCCTATGACCCCAAGAACACCATCCCCACCGTCAAACATGGAGGTGGAAACATTATGCTTTGGGGGTGTTTTTCTGCTAAGGGGACAGGACAACTTCACCGCATCAAAGGGACGATGGACGGGGCCATGTACCGTCAAATCTTGGGTGAGAACCTCCTTCCCTCAGCCAGGGCATTGAAAATGGGTCGTGCATGGGTATTCCAGCATGACAATGACCCAAAACACACGGCCAAGGCAACAAAGGAGTGGCTCAAGAAGAAGCACCTTAAGGTCCTGGAGTGGCCTAGCCAGTCTCCAGACCGTAATCCCATAGAAAATCTGTGGAGGGAGCTGAAGGTTCGAGTTGCCAAACGTCAGCCTCAAAACCTTAATGACTTGGAGAAGATCTGCAAAGAGGAGTGGGACAAAATCCCTCCTGAGATGTGTGCAAACCTGGTGGCCAACTACAAGAAACGTCTGACCTCTGTGATTACCAACAAGGGTTTTGCCACCAAGTACTAAGTCATGTTTTGCAGAGGGGTCAAATACTTATTTCCCTCATTAAAATGCAAATCAATTTATAACATTTTTGACATGCGTTTTTCTGGATTTTTTTGTTGTTATTCTGTCTCTCACTGTTCAAATAAACCTACCATTAAAATTATAGACTGATCGTGTCTTTGTCAGTGGGCAAACGTACAAAATCAGCAGGGGAACAAATACTTTTTTCCGTCACTGTATAGGGATAGTATTTTTGACGATATATCGTATTGACAATATTGCAATATAATTTTTGTGCTAGACAGCTGTCCATGCACCAAAACTCCAGTGTTTTTCCTTTATAGCTTGTTCTCCATCTTTTTAAATAGGGAGCCAATTTATTTTTAGCACTTTTATTTCCATGACTGATCAAAACATGTTTTCTCATGGCTCTGTTTTGTCCGTCAGACATATGGTGAGCAATATGTTTGTTTGGAACATTGAATCTCAAAATCCCAGTATCTAATCGCAATGCATATAGCAGAGGTATTCAACTCTTACCCTACGAGGTCCGGAGCCTGCTGGTTTTCTGTTCTACCTGAATTCATTACTTACCTGGTGACCCAGGTCTAAATATTGCCTGATTAGAGGGGAACAACGAAAGAAAAGCAGTGGAACTGGCTTCAAGGTCCAGAGTTGAGTTTGAGGGACATACAGAATCTTTCGAATTGTGAGAATCGCAATACATTTCTTATCGGCACCTAAGTATCGTGATAATATCGTATCGTGAGGTCCCAGGCAATTCCCAGCTCTAGTAAGAACCAAAGTGTTGGTCAGTGTTTTCCGGTAACCCTAATTACACGTAAAAATATAAATGCAACAATTTCAAAGATTTTACTGAGTTACAGTTCATATAAGGAAATCAGTCAATTGAAATAAATTCATTAGGCCCTAATCTATGGATTTCAAATGAATGGAAATACAGATATGCATCTGTTGGTCACAGATACCTTAAAAAAAAAGTAGGGGCATGGATCAGAAAACCAGTCAGTATCTGGTGTGACCACAATTTGACTAATGCAGCGTGACACATCTTCACATAGAGTTGATCAGGCTGTTGATTGTGGCCTGTGGAATGTTGTCCCACTCCTCTTCAATGGCTGTGCAAAGTTGCTGGATATTGGCGGGGACTTGAACAAGCTGTCGTACACGTCGATCCAGAGCCTCCAAAACATGATCAACGGATGACATGTCTGGTGAGTATGCAGGCCATGGAAGAAGAGGGACAATTTCAGCTTCCAGGAATTGTGTAC